TTTTTTGTGGTACGCGGGCCTCTCACTGCTGTGGCCTCTCCCGTTGCGGAGCACAGGTTCCGGACGCGCAGGCTCAGCAGCCATGGCTCACGGGCCCAGCCGCTCCGCCGGCATGTGGGATCTTCCCGGACTGGGGCACGAACCCGCGTCCCCTGCATCGGCAGGCGGACTCTCAATCACTGCACCACCAGGGAAGCCCTCTTATTACACTTGGGCTTCAAAAAATAACTAAGTTTTTGCTCCCCTAGAACACTAAGATTCCTTAGTTATAAATTGAAAACCCTGCGGCTACTTGTCAAATTGCTACATATTACAGTAATCTCATATAAATGCATAGATAAAGGCTGATTAATGTAGCCTTTTACAAAATTTATCTTGTGAGAAATGATACTTATACATTTGTGTGGAAGCACAAGAATCAGCAGCTATGTGCTTATATAACTTTCATATTCTACAGTCTGCTTTTTTAGACAGGTAAAAAGAATAATGTGTAGCATAAATGCAACAAGTTACATGAAACCTATATAATAAACAATGCTTACTATCTGTGACAGAATTGGGTACTAATTGTATGACCATTGATTCCAATTAATTGCATTTATTTTTTTAAATGTACACATAACAGAAAGTTTAAACATATTGTCTACATACTTTTTATTTCCACTATCACTTTCACAAACAGTATGTGACAGAAACTGGATGAGTTTTTACCAACATCCTCTTTATTCTTCTTCTGGCCTTAAGGCTAGACTACTTTCCTAGGCTCTCTTGTAATTGGAATGCTGCCATGTGAGTTATTCTCACCAGTGGCATATGAGAAAAGTATGTTTCATTTCTGAACCAAGGATTTTAGAAGTGGGTATGCTGCTTCTCCCACCATCTGGGTTCAAAACCCAAGGAAATGGTAGAAATCAGACAAGAAAGGACTCTAAATTACTGCATAGAAAAAAGCAGCCCACTCACCAATTCTCATCTTGGAATATTGAAAAAGTAAAAAATAAATTTCAGTTGGCTTTGTGACCGATTATTTATGCGGGATTGTTTTGTTGCCTGCTCTAAATAATACAGTGTAATAATATTACATGGCCTAATTTTTTTTTTTTGTGGTACGCGGGCCTCTCACTGCTGTGGCCTCTCCCGTTGCGGAGCACAGGCTCTGGACGCGCAGGCTCCAGAGGCGCAGGCTCGGCGGCCATGGCTCACAGGCCCAGCCGCTCCGCGGCATGTGGGATCCTCCCGGACCGGGGCACGAACCCATGTCCCCTACATCGGCAGGCGGACTCTCAACCACTGCGCCACGAGGGAAGCCCCACATGGCCTAATTTTTTAATGGAAATAAAATAAATTTCATGTTCCCACAAAACTATAGGTAGGTAAAATTATGATGGGAGTTATTAAATTATCTATTCAAACCCATCTTAAATTTTAAATTCAACAGTAAGCATAATGTCAGTAAGCATAATAAGAAAATGTAATTTGTTTCAATAATGTTAACATTAATAACAGAATATGAATAATCCTCATAACAGTTAATAAAACTGTTGTGAATATAGGCAAAATATTTTCATTAACGGTTAACTCTGTAGCTGAAATGAGGTGACATTGAAAGTAAAATGTCTATTACAACTATAAATATTTGCTTTATTTTGCTTCAAAATTATATTTGCACTTAAAAGGCAACTTACTGACACTTACTGAATCTTTGTTACTGTCATGGTCCATACTTAATTACTCAGTTTCTTTGGCATCTGATCTTAGTACACTTTACCTTGACATAAAAAATCGTCCTTGGTTTAAATAGAACAGTGCTTTTTATTATTATTACTATATTATGTTACTAATATACCATGTGATATTCAGAATATCTAAAGAGATGGAAGGGCTGGCCACCATAGTAAAAATGAGAGTAGTTGTATGACATGCTCCCCTTAAAAGAGCATATAGACAAAAAGACCACATTTGAAATAAAATGTGCACATTTTATTTCAAATATATATATATATTTATTTATTTATTTACTGCATGGAAATATATTTATTTCAAATATAAAAAGAATTAGTAGGTGTGCCTAGTGATACTGTATGCCTCTATGGATTAAATTTTTTCATTGGTGTTAGGCACTAAAACTAATAAAAGAGGTGGGTTCCGCTACCTCTGCCTAAACCTAGATGACTTTTTAGAAGATAAGCATATTTCATCTTTTTTTTTTTTTTAATGGGAGTATAGCTGCTTTACAATGTTGTGTTAGTTTCTGCTGTACAGCAAAGTGAATCAGCCACACGTATACATGTATCCCCTCTTCCTGGATTTCCTTCCCATTTAGGTCACCATAGAGCAGTGAGTAGAGTTCTCTGTGCTATACAGTCTGTTCTAGCATATTTCATCTTAATCATTGATCCTTGGCTATCAAAAATCATTAGGAGTAGAGGATAACCTCAGCATAATAATTCGTTTTATATTTGTTTGGGAGACCTTTTTGCCTAAACTGCAAAATATCAGCTGTTTTCTTGTTCTGTACTTATTTTGTTCCCAAATTTCTTCAGATTTATTTATTTAGTGTTCTCAAAGTGGGATTCCTGACCTAACAGTATTCTATTACCTGGGAACTTACTAGAAATGCAAATTCTCTGGCCATATCACAGACTTACTGAATCTGAAACTCTAGGCATGGGGCCCAGAAATCTGTGCTGTAACAAGCCCTCTAGAGATTCTCTTGCTTACTAAACTTGAGATCCACTAAACTAGAAGAACTGGTGTAGGGGATGACTACATTGCCTAAACATTATTTACATTCTTTGCAGTGGTGTTAAGGGTGAGAATGTGAGAACACATAGTTTCTAAGCAGAGAATGACCATGAAGAGTATTTCTTCTTACTAAAATACTCTTTACTCCATGACCGTTTCCTGCCATCCATTATCAAACTGTTCCTTTCTGTGATATCAACTCTCAGGTAGCTTTTAACTCTGTGTGTCAATTATATGTGGGTATTATATTTAGAATTAATACTTCTATTTGATATATGAATAGGAGTCAGGCAAATCAAGACTTTCCTTGGAAATACTAACAACATTTGAGGCTGTACTTGGCAAATGTTGATTACCAAGGAAATTAGAACCAAGGTTTAATAAGGAAGGAAATCTTGTACAAAGAGACATTTCAACTGTCTTTAAAAATAAGGTTTCTGAGGTTTAAAGAACATTTTATGTCTTCTGGGGAATTCCAGAGAGTGAAAGTTATGAGTACTGATATATGATTAGTGTGATAAAGCTATTATTAAATTAGATCTATATGAAAATGGACTGGGATGCCTCGTGACTTAACGAGTTTTCCTGTGGTTAAGAGTATTTAAGTCGGGCTTCCCTGGTGGCGCAGTGGTTGAGAGTTCGCCTGCTGATGCAGGGTACGCGGGTTCCTTCCCCGGTCCGGGAGGATCCCACATGCCGGGGAGCGGCTGGGCCAGTGAGCCATGGCCGCTGAGCCTGCGCGTCCGGAGCCTGTGCTCCGCAACGGGAGAGGCCACAACAGTGAGAGGCCCGCGTACCGGGGGGCGGGGGGGGGGGGGGGGGGGTTTGGGGGGGGGGGAGGGGGGGGGGAGTGTAGGGGGAGGGGGGCCGGGGTGTTGGGGGGGGAAGAGGGAAAGAGTATTTAAGTCAACATCAAATGGTAGCTTAATTGGGTGATCTAGATACTTGTTATGCAAAGTGTGGTTTCATTTGGTAGTTGTTACAGGTGCAGAATCTCAGGGTCCACCCCAGTCCTAGTGAATCAAAATCAACAATATAACAAGATCCATGGGTGATCTATATGCACATTATGTTTGAGAGATAGTGCTCCAGTTGACATCTAATGAATCTTTATATTACTCTTATACTTAATTTAAATAGGTTTATGTTGTGATGCAGAATTTGAATAACAGTCTAGAAGAGATGGGGGTAAATATGTGAGCTTGAGCTCACATTCTACTGTGAGGTCATTAACTTAATTAAATGCTGCCCCCAAAATAAAATAGTCTGTTTCCTGAATACTGACCTTAATGTAAGTGAGCTGGTGTTTGAATACTATTTCTATAGTTAGCTTTGAACTATTTGTTTTACACAAAAGTGAAACATACCTTTTGGGTTTATTGCACTACCTCATGAGGATATTTGTACTAACTTCCAAATTATACTCAATGTTGAACCCTTCTCCCAATTCCCTCTTGCATACCATCTTCCTTTTCACTAAAACTAGGATGTCTTAATTTCCCTTACTGAAACCTTTCCTTTTTGCTTAGAGTAGGTAGTGGTTTTGTCTTCTGCTTCTTCCCTATTCCTGGTGGGTCTATAAGAATGGGCAGCAGAGGCAGAAAGAAAGGAGAATACCTAAAGTGGTGTATAGGTATGGGGGAACTGGAAAAGATCAAGGGAGCAGACTTTGCTCAAAGCTGAAATTTACTCGGGCAAGGAGTACTTAACATACAGTTCTCATTGCCAAAGCAATGGATGGAAAAGAGCTGGAGAGGTAATGAGAAGTGACAGATTCCGCCACACCCTAGATTGACTCAGGTCTCTACAACCAAGACTTCCATGCCCTGGTCCTGGGAGAAGGAAGCCGCTTAAAGAAATGACAAGCACGGAAGGCCAGACAGCCAAAAGATCCCCAAACCTGTTCCCGTCCCCAGCAGTGCGGGCCAACACACGCCTTCCTGTAGAGACCTTTGTGTGTGGGAAGCCCGGGCGAGGAAGAACATACCCCCTTCTCACACCTGCCCATCCCCAGTTCTTGCTTTCGCCGGGGGCACTGGGACCAGCGCCAGCCGGCAGCGGCTTTGGGGGAGTCGTGTGTATCCGCGAGCGCGTGTGCGTGAGGAGGAGAGCAAAGACGTGATTACTTCAGAATTTATTTAAGGGCCGGTGGAAACCACTGCAGCAGCTTCCAGGGGAAGCCCTAGTTTCAGAGGAAGAGGAGGTGGTGGCTGCCAAGGAGTGGGTGGGGGGGGCGGGGGGGTGGAGGGACAGAGGAGGAGGAGCAGCAGCGACAACAGCACAAGGCAAGTAAGGAGAGAAGATGCTACAGCATCCGCACCGGCGCCCAGCAGGTTGCTTCTACGGGCCAACTGATGCCAGCAAAGAGGCTAGGAGGCGAAGCTGGGTGTAGGGGGGCTGGCTGCTTGCCTTTCTGCAGAAGAAACACCTCTTTTAGGTGAAATAAGACACCCTAGCTTGGAAATAGGCAGGGGGCCAGGAGGGGATCTGCCCTGCTTCTCGCGTCCCTGGGGACTCGCTTCCCTTTAGCTTTCCAACTCCTGGTGGTAGCCATAAACTCCAGAGGGGCTCCGGGTGGGTGACTGGGTGGAGAAATTCCCTTCCAGATAGTCCTCACACCTTTCCCCAAAGCTCAGGTTTCGGGGCCACACTCTGGGTGGCCCGGTGGCGGAGGGAGAGCAGCGTCACTTGGTTCAGTTTCTACAAGTCAAACCCAGTCCCCACTTGCCGGCTCCCCGGGTCTCCAGCAGCACGCGGGGAGCTGCGGCTGTTCGGGCAATCGGGCCGCTGCTGCTTTAAGAGCCGCCTCCCCCTCTCCTCCCTTTGACAATGGTCTGAACCGAGCTCTGCTTCCCAAAGCAAAATTTGTAATATGCCATTTTTCCGATGGACGCTTCTCCTTTTGGCTGCTGACGGAGCCGCGGAAAGATGCCGAGCTGCTGCCACGCCACCCAGCCGGGGCACGTTCCAGAGGACGCCGGGGCACCCGACTGTCTAAGCTACCTTTCTCCTCGCGTTGCTAGGGAAATGGTCCACGAGTGCCGGGTGTGAGCCTCCCCGCTCGTCAAGCCGGAGACTGCGGTTGTCAGTGATCAATTGAAGAAGCAGGACCCGAAATTACAGACATTAGGTACAGAAACTGTATTTGAGTTACACGGTTCCCCCCGCCCCGGCTTTATTTTTTTTTACCCCTTCCCCCACCCACCACCACCACCACCCCGGCCCCACCCCGCCCCCAGGGAAGATGAGATGCAGATTCCCTCCTTGTCAATCACTGTTCCGTACCTCTTGCTTTCCACCCCCAACCTCTCCCTTCTCCTGTTTCTCTACCTTCTCCCTACTTGGATGTCTCCTGTTGGGCAGGATGAACAGTTTTGGTGCAGAAATCATGAAGTCAACTTCTTCAGGGTGGTGGCGGGGGTGGGGGGGGTGTGGCTGAGAGAGAACTGTCCAGCCCGCCGTATGGTGTGTGCAGGCTCTTTGGCCAGCTCTAAATTAACTGGGGTAAAGAAAGTGCAAAATGCTTCCATTAAAGGGGTTAATAATATTTCCTGAGGACAGGGGACTTCAAAGAGTTAACTAGGAGGAGGAATATTCATGTAATGTAATCAGACAATGGCTAGGATTTCTCTCACCGAATTATTCCTTGTGGGTTAACTGAGGTGGAGATAGGTCAGTTCTTAAGACTAAATCTTTGCAGAAGAAACTGACTACAGAGAATAATTACATCTTTTTCTCTAGTAGGATCTAAATCCTAAAGATCTGTTCGAATAAAGTGATTCATTGACAGAAAAAAAGCCTTTTGTAGCACTGTCATATCTGAATAGGTACTGTTTGAACAGCACATATTGCTAAGAAACACACTGGATCTTGAAAGCCCTTGGGTAATGACTCCAGTGGGCATTCAAAACTTTTATTTTGAAATATGAGGGATTTACAAGACAGTCAAGGTTATGTGCTAAGAAAAAGGGAGTTGGTTTTCCTGGTATAAAATTCTTCAAGCTAAATTTAAGCACTGAGATAATTAAACCAGCTAGGTGTTTTGTTTTGTTTTGTTTCTTTTCACAATAAAATAATCTCTAACTAGACCTTGAAACTTTCAGTAATTTAATGAAAAGGGGCATCAACATCTAGAAGAGTATAACATAATCCATATATCAATTGACTTTGGGGAGGGGATGACGAAAAGACAAATATCAAAGCAAATTGTTAGTATGCCCTTTCTGGTTTTTCAGGAATTATGTGGTACACTGCAGTTTTTAATATTGAAAATGATTCTAAAAGTTAAAAGCGGTATATGAAATAGACTAGAGGTTGAATGACCATAGCCTTCTGTACTATGCAAGTTGCTTCAGATTTCATCCATTCTGTAAGAGGGTGTTTGACTCTTACATTGAATACAGATTTTTAATTGCTTTTAATACCTAAAAATGTGCATTTAGGAAATAAGTTATACTATATTTTAAGGAATATACAACTATTTTGTAATTTATATTAGACAGAATCTCAAGATTCTGTTTTATTGCGAGAAACTAAGCTAGCTCATGAAAGTGGCCTTATTTTTTGCAGACAAATTTTTTCCTTCTAATTTTGATGAGAAGACTTTAGGTTTACTTATTTGGGTTGACTGTGAGGAAAAAGAAGCATGTATTCATCTTATTTCCTAAGTAACTTTTGCATAGCTTGATTTTTTTTTTCAATTAAATTTGAAAAGTTTAGAGCACCCATTGGAATTAAACCTTTAGGCATGGAAGCAGAATGAATCATAAAGGTAAAATACTCTTTCTGCAAAGGTGAATGTTTGTCATTTTATAATAGAAATAAATACTTGAATTTGTAATAGTCCTTTATTAATTAACAATCTGTTCTCAGTCAGGTATTCTATTGGACCCCTACAATGGGCTTGCTAAAATAAATGCTTGCATTATTATTCCTACTTTACAGAAGAGAAAACTGAAGTTTGGAGACATGAAGCGACTTGCTCTGGTTCACATGCCTTGGGAGTAAAATTGAATCAAGTTCTTTTCAGTGTAGATTTTCTAAATTCCATCATAGCATCTTTCAACTAACTAAATCAAAGACCAACTTTTATACTGATCTAAGAGCCTGAAGTTTGTGAATGTCTAATGTCTCACGGTGATGACGTTTGTTAGAATTAGGGTAGAATATTCAGAAGAAAACTGTAGCTGAGGTAATCACTACAGTTATGTTTTTCCTTGGAATTTAAAGTTGTTATAAGTAATTCAGAGTAGAGGCAGGCTAATAGCTTTCTTCAGGAAGGATATGATTTAAAATACAGTTTTGAAAATGTTTAACCTTAAATTTAAACCTTACAAGTGTTTTGGCACAGCTTGTCACTGTGCTACCATTTCCTCTCCCAGTATTTTGTTTTAACCTTAAATGTCAAAAAGAAACACATTGGCTCCTTATAATGATTTCTCAGAATGACATAGCTGTTCAGTGTGTGGATTTTATGCATGGTATGTGAACTAATTGCTTTAAATATTTAAATGTGTTGGAACATTTTTTTTTTGTTTTCCAATTCCTTTTTAATTAGTGTAAAGAAAATTTGTAACAGTTAGAAAAGAGTCTCATCTTTTCCACCTTTGTGATATTGTTTGAATGAAATTCAGGTTAAAAAAAATCAAAAAATATATTTTCATCCATTAAGTGGTTAACAATAATATCAAATGTATGAGTGTGAGTGTGTGCATGTGTGTTTTCGTGAGTTTGTGTTTAAATACATCCTATATATCTACTCTGCTCTATATTTTAAGGTGAATAAGAAATTGAACAATTCAAGTTCTGGTCTTCAGGGAGCCCAGTGTTTTAAATGATGAGCAATAATTCAAAGCATTACCTCGAATTGTTCTAAAATTTACCACCGCCTAATTCTTTTGTATAGGCTATCAGTCACAAAATACTTTCCTTTATCTTTTAAAAAGTTTCTCCTGGTTTTCAGTGGGCCCTGACCAAATTATTCACAGATAATTGAATTCTCTCCTCAGTAACCCAATTTATATCAAGAATCATAAAAAATAATTAACTATTGAGCTGTTAAATCTTGATATTTTATTTGAAAATATCACCAGAAATACTTTCCCCAAGGACAGGAATATGTAGGCAGAAAAATGAATTGACAATGTATTATAAAACCAAAGAATGCTCCAGGATCAACAGCCAAACCAGCCTTTCTCCACATCAGACTTCTGCAAAACCAAGCCCTCTAATTAACAGCTCCTGGCCTCAGTACAACAACTGAAATTGAGATGGATTTGATTTTTTTTAAAACATAAGACAGAAAAGAGAAAATAAGATAATTTCTGATTTTTAAAATGCTACACAACAGGTCAATGTTACATCTTAATGTCTGTGTTTTCTATTTTAAATAAATAATTTAAAAATATTCTGAACAGTTCATTTATTTTATGACTGACTCCTGATTAGCAGTTAGGATGTGAAGTTGCTACATTAGCTAATGTAATTTATGGCATCTGTTCTGTGGAATATTTGAAAGAGTGTTAGTTTGTATTGTTTGGATGGAAACCAGACAAAGCAGCTCACAGGAAACAAAGGAATAAGTGTAATTGGTAGTATAATAACCTAAACAAATTTATGCATCTCAGTCTATTTCATAAAGCATATGTCTAATTCAGTCAGAATCACTTGTCTACTCTGTGTAGACTACTGTAGGAATTCAGGAAGAGAGTATATAAAATTAATGGGTTGGCCAAAATGTTCGTTCGTTTTTCCATAAGCTGGCTCTAGTAGCAATTAGTTATCTTTGACTTCATTCAGAACAATTTTGTTAGACTGTATGTGGCAGCTGTCATATTAGTGTGCATTTAAAAAAACCTTATCAAAATTGGTGAATTTCTGTGTAGTCATTTTAATACTGAAGATGGAAAAAAAAAAGCAACATTTTTGGCATATTATGCTTTATTATTTCAAGAAAGGTAAAAACACAACCGATATGCAAAAAAAAAAAAGATTTGTGCAGTGTATGGAGAAGGTGCTGTGACTGACTGAACGTGTCAAAAGTGGTTTGCAAAGTTTTGTGCTGGAGGTTTCTCACTGGACGATGCACCACGGTCCGGTAGACCAGTTGAAGTTGATAGTGATCAAATCGAGACATTAATTGAGAACAATCAACGTTATACCATGCAGGAGATAGCCGACATACTCAAAATATCCAAATCAAGCATCGAAAATCATTTTCACCAGCTTGGTTATGTTAATCACTTTGATGTTTGGGTTCCACATAAGTTAAGAAAACCTTCTTGACTGCATGCGATTCTCTACTTAAACGTAATGAAAATGTCCCGTTTTTAAAACAAATTATGACAGGCGATGAAAAGTGGATACTGTACAATAATGTGGAGCAGAAGAGATTGTGGGGTAAGTGAAATGAACCACCACCAACCACACCAAAGTCCAGTCTTCATCCAAAGAAGGTGATGTTGTGTATCTGGTGGGATTGGAAGGGAGTCCTCTATTATGAGCTTCTTCCAGAAAACCAAATGATTAATTCCAACAAGTACTGCTCCCAATTAGACCAACTGAAAGCAGCACTTGACGAAAAGAGTCCAGAATTAGTCAACAGACAACGCATAATCTTCCATCAGGATAATGCAAGACCGCATATTTCTTTGATGACCAGGCAAAAACTGTTACAGCTTGGCTGGGAAGTTCTGATTCATCCGCCATATTCACCAGATATTGCACCTTCAGATTTCGATTTACTTAGGTCTTTACAAAATTCTCTTAATGGAAAAAATTTCAATTCCCTGGAAGACTGTAAAACACACCTGGAACAGTTCTTTGCTCAAAAAAAATAAAATGTTTTGGGAAGATGGAATTATGAAGTTGCCTGAAAAATGGCAGAAGGTAGTGGTACAAAAGGGTAAATACATTGTTCAATAAAGTTCTTGGTGAAAATGAAAAATGTGTCTTTTATTTTTACTTAACAACTAAAGAAACTTTTTGGCCAATCCAATAATAAAATGGGAGGTGTAAAGTCAAGAAGCTTTAAGTTAGTTGTATGAAAAAAATTAATAAAATTAAAAAGTAAAACCTAATTTTTATATAAAATGAATACTCAATTATTTGGGGATTTTCTAAATGACAGAATGAACATTAATTCATTCAATTATTTAATACAAACATCATTTACTTCCCACCTGTTAAATGCCAAACACTATGCTTGCTGTTAACAACATAATAACGAATAAGGGTAAGATGGAGGTATTAGCTATAAGTGATTTGTAAACTTGCAGGGAAAGAAAGGTGATCAATTAATAAGCTTAGTAACATCTTATTATAAACTGAATTAGGTGGGGTTAATCATGAAAAAACTTTGAGAAGTAGGTTAAATCAAGCTGTGTTTTGTAGGTAGGAGATATTTAGACTGTCATGAAAAGAGAAAGCATGTTAGATGGAGGAAGTCAGTGGATCATATTTCATTGAGGTTAAAACTTTTAGCATCATTGGAATTGGGGCAGTGGGTAGAGGAGAAATAGACAATTAGGTTGATGAGTTGCAAAGAGTTTGGAGAGTTGAGGGTCAGGTGGGATTATTGGAAATCATTTTTTTACTAAGACTTCCCTCCCTTTTACTTTCTTTAAGCAATGATGTGTGAAGTGATGCCCACAATTAATGAGGACACCCCAATGAGCCAAAGGGGGTCCCAAAGCAGTGGCTCGGACTCAGACTCCCATTTTGAGCAGCTGATGGTGAATATGCTAGATGAAAGGGATCGTCTTCTAGACACCCTTCGGGAAACCCAAGAAAGCCTCTCACTTGCCCAGCAAAGACTGCAGGATGTCATCTATGACAGAGATTCGCTCCAGAGACAGCTCAATTCAGCCCTGCCACAGGTATGCCTCCTGGGAGCTTCTGTCCTTCCTACTGCAACTGAAAATGTGATAAGACTTAAATAAGCTTTGCTTTATTCCCATTCTTAAAATTACTTTTGCCCTTAGTAGATATGATATACAAATTTTGGTGAGAAAAACTTAAGAATACATAATTAATTCACATGCAACCTTGCCTCAAACAAAATTGTGGTACTTCGGTGGTGGGGGATTTGAAACATGAGTTCCTATCTGGTCTTTCTCTTGAAAATTTTATCTGTTTTTTGGTGGAGGTAGAAAATTACCTGTTGATCAGCTTTTAATTACAAGAATGTGGGAATAGTTTTCTCCTTCTTACTTTTTAAACACTATTATGACATTTGGAAATATGTATTTTACATTTTCAGTTATGTAGTCTGTCTTTGGAAATAATAGTATTTTGGAAGTCTGCTGTCCAATATTTTTTATTTGTCTTTCTTTAATAATGCCTGACACCTGCTTAAAATTCTTGAACTTATTGATGTATTACCCTCTCTTCTGAAAACATTTTGACCAGTTTCTTTTTAAAAATATATATATTTTGGAAATAGGAGAAAAGGCAAAAGTTCAGCTTTATTCTCACAAACTTAAAATTGTAAGATTTTAACAATTTTATTTTATAAGTAAATATTTATAATATTTTATATGTACTATGTAATAACATGTTATATGCATTATGTATATGTAATAATAATATTACTATTATATGTAGTAATATTATAAAAAATAACTTTTTTTTTTGTGGTATGCGGGCCTCTCACTGACGCGGCCTCTCCCATTGTGGAGCACAGGCTCCGGAAGCGCAGGCTCAGCGGCCATGGCTCACGGGCCCAGCCGCTCCGTGGCATGTGGGATCTTCCCGGACCGGGGCACGAACCCATGTCCCCTGCATCAGCAGGCGGACTCTCAACCACTGTGCCACCAGGGAAGCCCCTTGAATTTTAATTATACTGGTGCACAATCTCTTATCTAAACCCCTTGTGTTTTAAAGTTTAGAGTTTCCCCAATTTTTGTATGTGTACAATGTATACTATGGAACACTCCACTAGCCAGATTCTGGGAAGCACCCTATAATTTTACACTTTCATATTTCTGAAGAGAATTCTATGAATATTCCTACTGTGTGGAAAATATAAAGACTATAAATGACCTCATGTTAGTAAGGTCTGGTTTTGCCACCAATCAAGTTTGCAATATACTTACAAATAAATATCAGTTTTCAGAGTATTTGAGTTTGGGAATTATAGATTAGGGGTTATGAGCCTGTACATTTAGATGGTTATAGTTCCAATCTCTTTTATAAATACTTTGACACATTTTTTCAATATTTATTTGTATTCTACTATTAGAAATATTTAATACCCCTAGCAATCCACAGGTCCTTAAAGATAGTGATGGTCCTGTCATTTGTTAAAGCAAGTATTTAATAACCTCATCTGTAACTTTAGGGCTATAAGTTTTTTGCAAGTAATAGAGGAATATAAAATTCTTCTTCAACTGGTATCTTTGAATCTTTTAAAATAGTTTGTGAGCAATGTACCTGCACTGTTTGGTGGCATTTCATTTGACATTTACCTGGAAGGAGAAAATGACTCCCATAAATGTGAGTTTTGGGGCAGAAATAAAGTATGTAAAATTGAAAACTACTACAATAACATAAAAGTAAAATTTGTTTTAGCAAACATGGGATAGAATTCAAAGCAGAGTCAAACTTTATGACATATCATGTTTTCAATTGCCTATACAATATTTTTTAGTTGTTGATGATTTAGTGCTTTGCTTTAGTCATTTCTCTCCTATAACATTTTTTATGAACACATGCAGCAGTGATTTTAACAATCCTAACCATGAAAATATTTTGTAGTCATATTGTTTACTTTTTCATTATGTGATGGAGTGTAACTGTGTTTAACAAGGACTGATAATTCCACATCATTCCACATTCTAGGCCTGATGTTTCTAAGCTATACACCGATTTTCTACCTTTCTAATGCACAGATCCATTTAATGTTCCATGGAACCTGAGATTCAACATGTCCAAACTCAGTTATCATCTGCCTCCCACTCGACCAAATCTGCTCTAACTCCTCACCCAGACACCTGAGAGTCCTCATAGCTGATTGCTTTCTTCACCATCTCTGAATTCGGCCATACTGTTTTTTTTTCTCTTAAATAATCCTCAGATCTCTCTATTCTTTTCTGTTCTTTGGCACCTGACCCTTAATTTCTTTTTTGCTCTATGTCCTAACATTCTCACTTTTGTAAATGTGTCACATTGTTTGCTTGAATAATAGCACACTGCTTGCTGTGTGCTGACAAACATCATGCTATTCCAGTCTTTTTCCTTCAAGCATATTCCTTTCTGCCCATAAGTTCTTCCTCAATATGTTTGTCTGGTTCATTTCTCATCCTAGCCAAGACTTTGTCTGTTCTAGGAAGTCTTCTCTGAATCCCCAAATACATGTCTTCTGTGTTTCTTACCCTTATCATTTTATCATTACATTATCTGTTTATGTGTCTGTTTCCCACCCTAGACTATAAGCTCCTTGAGAACAGGAGTATATCTCAATCACCTACAACCCTCTGGATCAGCAGAGTACCAGGTCCATAGTGAGGGCTTTTAAAGTAAAACTAAACTAAATGTATATGCATTTTGATGTAGAAAGAGGAAAAAAATTGACATAGGAAGATCTGGTTTGTAATGTGTTTCTATCATACATTATTAGCTTGAGTCAGGACTTCAAACTGACATGCTACAAAAAGTGGTTAATATTAATACCTCACAAGGTAGTTTGTGATGATTAAGGAAAGTAATATAAGTAATTGAGGCATTTATTTATAAGGCATTAAATACGTAAATGCTTGCATTTGTTTTATCCAGAATGCTAAAGATGAACTAATTTCTGCATATGTATGTCAATGAGTATTAGAACAATTTGCTAGGAATACTGATAAAATAAACAGTCTTTAACATTTTTGAAAACAGAGCAAATATTTACCAATTACTAATATGTTCACTAAGAATACTTAAAGGAGAGGTAAGGGGAGTGAAACTTCCATTGCAAAAAGTCATTAGATATAAAAGTTTAAAATTTCTTTTCAGCATCTGATTTAGCATGTATTAAGGGTCTTCTGTGTATTATTAAATGATTACATATGTTGTAAAGGGGATAGAAAAAAAGGAACATAGTTTGGTTCCCACAGAACTTAGGAAATAGATATAAATGGATCCAAATTAATACAGTACCAGAAGATTATAGAAGTACTGAAAGTATTTGTACCATAATACTGATATGTTATTAACTACAGAAAGTTTCATGTGGAAAGTGATATTAAAGAGGTATTTTTAAGAAAAGGTTAGAAAGGGCTAGAGGGTATTTCGCATCAGGCAGTACAGTTGTGCATAGAGGACCCTGCTTAAGGACATGTGGGGGATTAAAAGTCAGCCTGTGGTGGCTTCCCTGGTGGCGCAGTGGTTGAGAGTCCGCCTGCTGATGTAGGGGACAGGGATTCATGCCCCGGTCCGGGAGGATCCCACATGCCACGGAGCAGCTGGGCCCATGAGCCATGGCTGCTGAGCCTGCGCATCCGGAGCCTGTGCTCCGCAAAAGGAGAGGCCACAGCAGTGAGAGGCCCGCGTACCGCAAAAAAAAAAAAAAAAAAATTCAGCCTGTGTTCTGCTTTCCAGGCTAGGCTTGGTGTTCCTAATTTGCATAAAGGAGACAGTTGATCTAGCAGTACACCTAGTTAAAAAGAGAAGAGTAAATAGGAATTAAATAAGGAGAATAACTAACAGATTGTTTGTTGAAGGGCTGTAGGGTAGGAATGAAGTTTTGTATAGTGACAGTGGAGGATTGCAGCCTGTTCATGTGTGTGGTGGAAGCTAAGGACAGACATTTGTATACTTGGTAAGCAGTAGAAGTTTGAGTGAACTAGTGACATGATAAGGCAATAATGAAGGAATAATGTTCTGCCATTTTGATTTAGGATAGGTTATATAATACTCATGTATCAGTTATCTATGGCTAAAATAATGCTATGTAACAAACGACACAAAACCTCATTGTCATGCAAAATATTGGGTTTATGGAATTCAGCTGACCTTGACTTGGATTGATCTTGGCTGGGCTCACTATGCCACTGGTTGGCTGAAAGTTGGCTCAGTCAACTGTATGTTGACTGGCTTTCTGATCTAGGATGGCCTTAGCTGCACCAACAGGGGCCCCTCAACTCTATTCATGTGTCTAATCCTTCAATAGGCTAGTCTTTGCATGTTTTCATGGTGATGGCAAAGGAGTAAGAGCAAAGCAGAAACAAGCAAGTACTTTTAAGCTTCTGCTTGGGTCTTTTTTTCTTTTTTTTTGTAATACCCCTTGACCAAGCCCAGAGACAGAGTGCAAAGCAATGCAGCATCACATGGAAAAATTACAAAGACAGATGAAACACAGTTAACATCATTTTGGTCATTATTTATGTTAGGAGAGCTTATTGTGATAATGTAATAGTTCTGGTGAGGTGTGGGAATTTGAAATAGGATTGTGAACCTTGAAACTAAGAAAGACATGTTAATGTAAAGAATGTTGAGGGGAAAGAATGGACATAGCCAGATAATGAACTAAATGGCCATGACTTTGGACTTGAGTTAGAAGATCTGAATTTGAGTTGGAGTTCTTCCACTTATTAGCTGAGATACCACTGGTAAGTAACTTGACTTCTCTGAAACTCTGTTTCCTTAATTAGAAGGAGGGGATGATATCTACCCTAGGAGTAGTTGAAAGGAGGTGTGTGTATGTGCTTCAGAAACCCTAAACATTATAAAATGTCACCTGGTATTTTTCATAAACTGGGATGTGCCAGTATATATTCTGATGAGGAATTAAGTTAAAAGAGGCTACTTGTGGAGAAGAGGGATACATTTATATTTTAACATCTTAAAATACCAAATATTTAAGTGAAACTTACAGGGAGTTACAGAAGTCACTTTT